TGGAGAGGAGGAGTTTATTGCCATATGTACATGTACACTGGAATTCTTATTTGCACTGATCTCTCAGGACATGCACAGTACAGCAGATGACAGTGCAACAGTCAACACCACACAATGTAGACAGTTCATTACAAAATGGTACATAATAAACAGTAGCAACTCAGAACTATAAATATATTGTAGTTTTACATACATTTTATGTTTTGAGCAGACTGAGGCTCCATTCATTTTTCCCTCAATCTTGATACATTTTCTGGTCCCTGAAGCTGATAAGCAGCTCTGTAACAAAATGCTTTAATCCTTTTTGCAAACTCCATGCAGGATTGGATTTAAGATGGGTTTGCCACTCCGTCATTTGGGCCAGCTTTGTGGAGTGGCTAGAATGATTTCCTTGGTCTCAACCATCGAACTCTGTAACTCTTTCAAAGTTGTCAGTATTTTTACGACCACTGAACTAATTGCAAATGAAAGAATCAGTAAAAGTGAAAACATGATGACAATCTGCTGCAGATAACTGTTTTAGAGATGCATAGTAATGTGCAAATTATACATTTACCCTTAAAAAGACATCAGACATGCCAGTTATAATTATTCTAATATAGAATATATAACAAAGGTCCAACTTGACAGTGGTTGCTCTTCTACATGCATCTCATGCTCAATGAAAGACTCATTTTCTAAAATAAGTTTTTTGAGAACTTTGTTTTAATTGATTGATTACATTCAATGTACTGTATGTTGATTAATAAAAATATTTTTTTATGTTTGGTGTTGCTTTATTTTGTTTTACAAGATTAAACATGCTCTTATTGATTAAAACATGAATATTTTGATGTTGATTGCTTTTCATGGTACTTCTGTGGGAGGGAAAGAAGTATACTCATCATACTAGATCAATAGCTGTGCCCAGAATTTCACTTTTAAAGAATGGCCAACAGATATGCAGCAGCAAGACATAAGCAGATGTTTTGTGGTTTACCAGGCAAAATTCATGTTAATGGACAATGCACAGTAGTATGAGAATGATGTAACAATAACACAAAACAGACCAGAAGAATATGAATTGAGCCTGATTCTTTCATTTGCATAGTATTAGTTAGGTTAAATAGAAACGTGGGAGGATACTCCAGGAATAAAAGATTAATCTCCCACTGTGGTCCTGGAAGCAAAATGTCAGGGGCGCTGAGAGGCATAGATTTTGTGACCTTTTTAGTTTTAAAAAAAAATTAAAGATCTTTTGCTTCTGTTATGTGTGTTCTGTAATACAGCAAAGAATTAATGGCAAAGGCAAAATCCACTCTTGCCACGACTCACCTTGGTGCATTACAACAGGTCTGAATGTACAAATACATTAATTTCAACCACAATAAACATGGATTTGAAAGGCATAGTAGATTAAATAATGATACATCTTAAACATAAAAGTAAAAGGAATAATTATCTTATTACAAAGGCCTGTATAGAGTATACAAGATATTATAAGGATACAAGAAGGCACTGCGTAGTAAATCTGTAGTAAATCACTGCGTAAATGTAATCCTAATTAACTCTTGATAAAATATGGCAGTGTTTTTCAATGTTGTACTGTACATCCAAGTGAAAATCTGTTTCTTGTTTAACATGGGGTAAAAGTGACAATGCCCTAGTGCCACTGCTCATACTTCTAGAATGTTTGTGGGCTAATGCCCAGTTATGAATGTGACTGGCACACTTTGTACTGAAACAACATCAACAACATGTGATAGGTAATTAGAAGATGTGAGGTGATGACTTTGGGACATCACTTTCCTTAAGCTGCGGTAGTTTTTCCTTCACAATTTCATTTCTAAGATCTGTGGTACAGACTTCAGGCCACAAAACTGGATCATAATAATTGGAAGAAGATGCCAGATCAGGTTGACTAGGTTGATAGGTTGAGGCCTGAGATCACAACATGACCCGATACCTTGAATATGTTGCTATACTTTTCAAATCGAGTATTTGTACAGTACAGTATCTTTCCTGGTTGACATTTGATGATTCGTGTGCAAAGGCTGGCAGATGCCCAACATCAGTATCCTTGGCGCTTTCATCCATTGCTAATGCATTAATAATGCATTTCTGTGCTTGTTCAAACCATTTGCCATCCACCCTCTTAACATATTTTACATTTTTCACCAATAGCTTCATTATGTTTTTCTCAACCTCAGTTTTCAATTCACAACCATTTACTGTCCTGCTTTACCCTTGGTGGATGATGTCTTATTTTCTGGACAAAGTTGTGATAATGATAAAGGGGGCTGAGGGTGAGGACATGGTGGGATTTTCATGATGGATTGGTGTTAATAAATTGTTTTTAATTACTTTTGTTCAATATTTACAGCCCAAAATAATTATATTAGTTGGTTGTTCACTGTGAAAAATTGTTTAAACATATGTCCCTTGGTAAATGGCACGTTGTATCAGAATGTTTTAGCAATAATTTTCAATATTGACCTAGCATCAGAGCATTGTGAGTCCCACAGTAATTTTATTTTGATTGTGAACTTGGTTAGTCTTGAAATTCATATGTGTTTGTCTTTTTTGTTTTGTATATGTCCAGTAATTCATATAGATTTTATGTCTGTTTATTACATGTAAATATAAAATATAGTTCTGTAATAACTGCCTAAAATAAAAATATAAAAGAATGGATGAAAATAAAAAAGGGTTCTCCTGAGTACAAACAAAGTCTGTGCCTGGGTGGAATTGCATTCTTTGGGCATCTTCTGATGCTGACCTAACCAGCTGTATGTTTATAGCAAAGCAAGTATCAATGCTTTTTTGTTCATCTTTGAAGCAAGAGCAGATATTTGTTTTTGGTTATAATAATCATAATAATTCTTATGCTTATAAAGTGCTTTTCTGGACACTCCACTCAAAGTGCTTAACAGATAATGGGGACTTCCCTCCACCACCACCAAAGACAGCCAAAAAGTTCACCTGTATGCTCACCACAAATTAGGTATCAGTGGAGGAGAACAGAGTGATGACGCCAATTCATAGATGGGGATTATTAGGAGGAAATGATTGGTAAAAGTCAGGGGGAAATTTGGCCAGGACACCAGTGTAACACCATTACTCTTTTTAAGAAACAGCCTGGGATTTTCAATGACCCCTGAGAGTCAGAACCTCAGTTTTATATCTCATCTGAAGCATGGTGTCTTTTATTGCAGTATAGTGTCCCCATAGCTATAATAGAGCATTAAGACCCACACAGACCACAGGGTGAGTGCCCCCTAGTGGTCCCACTAACACCACTTTCAGCAGCAACCTTAGCTTGTGATATAGTTGTTCAGAATGTGTCCCTTTTAATTGTGGAGTGGCTTCTCTGGTCACATCTTGGAAAAGAAGGTCATGCTCTGGGAGACAGTATGATTTAGTCTCTTCCCTTTTGTTTGTATGATGTTCCAATGTGTGGCCTGAGACAAGTGCTGTTGCTTCCTGGGTCAAGTCTATTGACAGAACTGCCCCAATACCTGTGCCACATTAGACTGCAAGAAAATACTACAAAGAGTGTACCTCACTTTCATGTGCAATGATCCTGAATGTTCTACACTCATCTACTTTATACTGTATGTAGATGTGTTTGCCCCATCTTACATTTATCTAAATCTTTTTGAATTAAATATTGCAGAGCACAAAGCAATAGATGTGTGGTTGCAGATGCAACTTGCCAATGCAGATCATTTCCATTAACTTTACAAGGGTTTAATTAGATCATGTGTCTGTTTCATAGCCTGGATTTTCCACTTTTGAGCTAAAAGATACTGTATAGTAATTACAAAATAAGTCTACCCAAGAGAATGCTACACTAAAGATACACTATGAAATCCTCAGTGTCAGAGTAGGAGAAGAAAACTGGTGTTTCAGGGAATTCAAAATAAAAAGGAGAAAAATACAGACAATGTGCTTAAAAGTGATACGAAAAACTAAGACTGCAAAGGTGATTGGGCACAAATTGCTCCATACTGGGAAAGGAAAGATCAGGACCAGGAAAGATATGCGGTGGTGGTAGAGGCTTATCCAAACAATTTGGAGCTGTAATTTCTATCAAAGGTGCTCTCAAAAAGTATTGACTCACTGGGAAAAATTGTTCAAACCTGGCTTTTTGCAGAGCGATCTCAACAACGCTAAGGTAGGAAAACAATGATTTGGAGAATCAGGATTTTACAACAGATTCCTGAAGCAGGCAGGGAATTACAATACTTTGAGTAGCTCAATGTCAGAGCACTGAATTACCATGGTTTCGGGTTTAAATGTGGTGACTAGGCAGACGAATGGATGATTGGATCCCTGCTTGAAAGGAAGAGGGACATACAGCACAGAGAGGTTGGACTGACGTGATGTTAGACCTGAGAGGAAATAGAAGGATTAGTATTCCCCTTGGTCCTGGGTTCTGGGATTCATTGTTTAAGTGCAATTACAACTGTTGTTTCCTTCCATTTCTGGAATAAATAAATTGACATACACTGATTAAACATTGAAACTAAGTGGTTTAACAGCTCCGTCTTCAGAGGCCATAATATTTCAGCAGTTTACTTATGTTGATAAAAACAGATCTAAAAAGCTATTTGTCTAATGTAGTGCTCTTGTTAATGAAATATATGCTGCATCTTAATTATCTTTACATAAGAACTTTTCACATACACATTAATCTGAGTGCATTTTTTTTTATTTTAAAGAACATAACTCACAGACCATATTTTGCTGCTGCATTTAAAATAGCATCTTGGCACTTAACTGACAACCAAAATTCACTAACATGGTAATAGTCACAAACCATATTTAGCAATACACATTTCATAAACAAAGTAGTGAGAATTGCATCCTGTATTTCAGTTTGACAGAACCTTTAAACAAAATTCCTTCAAGTCTGTCAATTAATGTCATTTTTAATTTGAATGCTTTTTTAAAGATTCTTTTTAAAATATATTTAGAAAGAAAAAAAAACACAAATGCTATCAAAGACCTCTGAACACAATTACAAAAAAGGCACATATCAACATGATAAAGCTTTTTTTAAATGAGCAAAGGAACTTTCAGCACAGTATAGTACAGGACGAAGCACCTTGAGAAGTGCCATTGTTTTAAAGATATATTGGAGAGGAGTTCTTTGTATGGTGTGGACATTAGAAGCCCAACAGCTCTGTTTTCAGTAGCAGGGGAGTCATTTTCTAGTCCAACCAGTTTCAAATATCTGATCAGTAAGAAGTCTGCCTCTGTCACCTCACATTGATCCAGTTTTGCACGAATACTATTCTGCTGTTTAAAGAAGTTCTCATGGTCAGTGGATTGGAGAGTGCAACTACTCTCTGTACACGCCTGTAGAAGGACACCCAATGCCAGGTCAGATTAGCACCTCATGCTCATATTGAAATATGACCTAAAGCTGTAGTTTTGTTTTAAACTGTGAAAATTAATCTAAGTCTCTGATCCAGTGTTGTGGCCAAAAAAAAACAACAACCCTGTATTTTGCTGCTGCATTTAAAGTGATTTAATTTTGTAGAGCACTTAAATTGTTTCCCCCTCTCATTAAACTTTTTTCTCCTGATATTTGGACAACTAAATGACACTCTTCTCACAACACTATGAAACAGTTCATGTAATTTCAGTCACGAAACAAAAATAAAATGATAGTTCTAATCCTGGTCTTGTTAAGGGGCAAAAAGATACAAATAATTCAGAATCCAACAGAATTTAATCTTGTGGAAATAATAGACAAGAGCATGATCTTTTTTTTTTCAACACAGGTAAAGATGAAAGAGAGTTGCATAATTTTGCAACGTAACATTATCTGTTTTGTCCAAGCTGGCTGACACAAGTGACAAAAATACACATTATTAAGTGTTAAAATTTCGATCTTTTGTTATCTTGTCTGTCATCAAATTTTTAAAAAGCTCATAACATTTTGTCATATTTATGTTCCCGATGAAACGAATTGCATTTCAGTGTTCACAGCTGCAACTCCAGTGGTGCCGACGCGCTGTTTGAAGATGAAAGGAAAGGCCTTTTTAAAGGACTTTCTGAAGTTGGCCCCCATGAAAGCATACACAATCGGATTGACAGATGAGTTGGAGTAGGACATGCAGTGAGCCCATATTTTGATCTTGTATGTCGCATAGCTCCTACGAAAGTTGGAGTAGAAGGCCTGTAAGAGGATGAAGAACTGAATGGGGCCCCAGCAGATAGTAAAGAGCACGACGATCACAACCACCATCTTGGAAATCTTTGTGCGCATGGCTTCCGACCTCTCTGCCAAAAGCTGGACCTTGAGAACATGACACACGGTATATTAGTATTCTCAGAGGTTTCACTTTTAAAACTACGGTCTGATCTGGTTTGATCAATAATCAGTTATTCCATTCCTTTGACCATTACTCCTGTTGATGATATTAGAATTTGCATATTTTAAGTAAGGCGGATTATGTCAATTATCATTAAACAATGGCCACTTTTAACCTGTTTCAAAAAGTGTTGAGTATTATCTTGTACTGTATATGCTGATATTATGTATGCTAGAAAAAAAAGTTCAATTCCACATATGTATGTCAGAATTTCAGTGCACAGTGCACAAGGTAGTGATGTTTGATTTTTCTGGAATCTCCATATGTAAAAGTCACATTACTTTTTATAAGGCAATGTGTATGTTCAAGGTAATTGTTTGGAATGGAAGAATTGCTTAGGATTCCATGAACATTCTGTAAAGGCTGAATAACATTTGTTCAGTTACATTCATGGACACAAAAATTAGGAACCATTCCTTAATTAACTGATTAAACATTTACATTCTGATTGCTTTTAGTGGTCTAAATAAAACAAAATGTCCTTCCAATCAAAGCAAGTTGATGTATATTCATTCCTGAGCACAAACTCAGTAACTCAATGCAAGAAAGCAATAGCAGCCTAATATAAGGGAGAGATAGTAATGTCCATAGTACAGTACGCACATAAAAAAGATTATTGTTATTATTGGAGCAGGTTTGAGTATGATCATGTGTCAATATAAACAAAACTGATTGACAATGAATAAATATATTGACAAATCTGTAAACACAAAAATATATAAAGCTAGTTTAAGGGAATTTAACTAAGGTTAAAGCAGGGCCAGACATAGGAGAACTAGGCCCCCTAACGTGCAACACAACATTCTTTTTAGTCAGTTCAGTTGGGTAGCTGCGTCAGCATGTGTAGTCTGCAAAGGAACAAGTAATAGGTTTATTCCATGCTGAAAAAAGAAGACAGAAAGCCTGAAGAAGGCTTCACAGCCGAAATGCTGTGTTTTCCATCTTCTCTTTTCAGCATATTTTTTAATCGGCACGTTTTCAAATGTGAGTGAAGAGCCACTACAATTAATTTTTCTGTTGCGCGCCCTTCCTCCAAGACCGCATGTCTGTGACGTAGAGCAAGTGCGAACTTCAAGTGCGCGAGTATTCGAGTGCGCAATGGGACACTCTCGCGTGACGTCATTCGTTTGTTACACGGCTCAGGGTCAAAGGAACAAGTAATAGGTTTATTCCATGCTGAAAAAAAGAAGAAAGAGAACACAACGTTTCGGCCGTGGAGCCTTCTTCAGGTGTGA